CCCCGGGCGGTGGGGAAGCCCCACGCGTTGGGGGATGCCGGCAGGAGGCTCCTGCCTACGTCGTCATGGCAACGCCAAGTAAATAAAGCACCTTTGCAACCGGCAAATTCGGTGGGGAACGGGCATGGGGAGGGGGCTGACAATGGAGGGGAGCGAGAGGGACAAAAGGGACGGGGTGAGCGCGGGGAGCACCCGTCCACTGAGAGCGAGGGTGGCTGGTGAGCTGTAGGGCGTCATGGCAACGCCAAGTAAATAAAGCACCTTTGCAACCGGCAAATTCGGTGGGGAACGGGCATGGGGAGGGGGCTGACAATGGAGGGGAGCGAGAGGGACAAAAGGGACGGGGTGAGCGCGGGGAGCACCCGTCCACTGAGAGCGAGGGTGGCTGTTGTGCTGTAGGGGCAGCGCGCCGGTCCGGTCGGTGGTGAGGGATCTCTCATGTCAAAGCCAAACCCCGAGGCGGTGCGGGGGAGCAGCTCTTGGCTACTCGGCAGCTTTCGCCAGGCTACGGAGGGGCTGCTGGGGCACCGTGTCCTGCCACCGCTGCACCCTCCGGCTACCCCGTGCTCAGGGACTGTTGCGAGGGAGAGACGGAGGGACCCTCGTGCTTCCTCGCCTATAAATCCCCCCTGGATTGCAAAAGCTTGGCGCTCTCCCCCTACCACCGCAGAGAAGCGGGGCCTGGAGGCTGAAATGCAGTTTGATGAAAAGCGCTCGTGCAGATCGACTCGACGGAGCTCGTCTGTCTGATGTGGGGAGGGAGCGTTGCTCGCGGGCGTGGGTAGAGGAGGGTTCCTTCCCAAGCCCTGTTTGAAGCGCGCTGGCCTTGGCATCTGGTCGGAGCCCGCCTCGCTGGCGGGAGCCTTATTTCGCTCTGCTCACACCTGTGCTTTTTGTCTCTCTTCCTTCCCCCCCCCACCCCTCCCCTCCACTCTCCATTAGCTGCTGCTAGAAGAATACGCGAACAGCGACCCCAAACTGGCACTTACAGGCATCCCCATCGTCCAGTGGCCCAAGAGAGATAAGGTAGGAGCTGCGAGGAGGGGGGACCTGGGCGGGTATCGCGTGTGGTTGAGCTGGTAACCTGCTCTCAGCTGCTCTACAGCTTGGGACTGGGGTGTAACGGCATTGCTTCCGTACTTACGTCGGGGGCCCGTGCCGGTGGGCAGAAAGGGAGCAGTGCGGAGGAAGGTCGTGGGGCACAATCGCCTCCACAGCACCGCTGGCAGCGGTGGAAGACTCCCACCGTGTCCGGTTACCCCGACTCAGCCGACGGGTGGTAACTGGGTCAAGCCCAAGCTGCTCCGTGTTCTCCAGCCCCTCGGTCGTGCTCGGAGGAGCTGGAGCCCTGCTGTTGGTGGAAAGGGTGATGCTCTAAAGGGAGCTTTCCAGCTTGACGAGGGAGTCCTGGATGGTCGGAGTAATTTGTGTGTCAGGAGAATGTATTGCCAGGGGATTGTATATCAGGGTTACCTGAGAGATGAAGGGTGAGGTGTTGGGGTTGATGCTGATCATCAGCCCTGTTCAGTGGGCAGGCCAGTCCCCCCACTGCCAGGTGAGCGTCCCCAGCCCCTGCCAGCACGCTGCCCGTGCTGTAGTGTTGGCTCTTGCGACCCCAAGGAAGGCAGCTCTCTCCCGGGGGTCTCTACCTGCAGACAACAGCCAACTTCTCAGGAAAAGGACCTTTCAGTGCGCTCCTGCCCTTCCCTCTCCAGCTGTGCTCGTAGCCCAGGGCCCAAAGCTGGGCCACGGCCCAGTCCAAGCTCGCTGGGCTGATGGAGGCGAGGAGCAGCCCTGCCGCTGGCTGGCCGGACTTCCCCTCCACAGGCTGCCTTCCCGTGGCCCGCCAGGACGGCTCCTGTAGGTTACTGCTTCCTTCCTGCCAGGAGACGGGCTCACGGGCAGGCGTATGGGAAGAACAGGACCCCATCGCACTGGGAAGGGTGGGTAACACCCCGTCTGGGTGTCTGGAGACAAACAAGCCTCTCGGATTGCCCTTTAGAGGTGCCTGTCCCTGCTTGCCTGCCCTGCTCAAAGGGATCCAGCGGGATTTCCTGGTCCTTGAGCACCACAAGCATCTCAGGCAGCTTTTCTGGGAGAAGAGACCTGGAGACATCTACACGCTTTGGATGCGGCACTCGGATGCTTGGTGTATCCCCAACCCTGTCCTTGTGCTGGGTTTTTTTTGGGTGCCTGCCCTTCCCCAAGCCCATCAACTGTGGTGCGCACACACGCCATCACGGCTGATCCCAGAAGGATGCTGCGAGGGTTGATGGGATGTGTGGTGGCAGTTGTCTGCTGGAGAGCTGTCCTGTCCCAGCTACACTGTAAACAGAGGTGCTTGGGTCTTCCCAGCACGCCTCGAGCTCGTGGGATAGAGTGACCAGAGCACTCGCATCGGAGCGGACTCCTGTCCCCTTGTGCAGCCGGCAGAGGGACCTGGGTGGCAGAGAGGGGAGGACCCTTTCTGGCTGCCCGGGTGGACTTTGTCATTCCTTGCCTCAGAAGGAAAGAGCGGCTCTTCTGGAGCACCGCGGTGCTTTTGGGACTCGGCAGCCCTTTTCAGACCCATTTCTGACTCCTGGTAGGGGGTGGGAGGAAGGAGAGCTCTTGGTGTGGCATGGCGAAGGCTGAGCGGGATGCGCTCAAGGAGAGCTGCTCGGGGCAGCGCCGGTACAGGCTCCTTTGTCTGCAGAGAGGTGAGGGAGCGCGGCTGCTCTCTGGCACATCGTCTGAGGTCGCAGCGAGGGAGCAGGGGATCAGAGGCTTTCTGATCCAAGCTGAATTCAGTGGTTCGCTCATCTCACGCCGCTTCCCTCTCTATTTCTTTTGCCAGCTAAAGCTCCAGGCCCGGTTGAGGGTGCGCCTGCCCACCATCCCCATCACCAAACCGCACACCATGAAGCCAACCCCCCGCCCGACACCCGTCAGGCCTACGGTCTCTCCCATCGTGTCAGGCGCCAGGCGGAGGCGGGTGCGGTGCCGAAAATGCAAGGCTTGTATGCAGGGCGAGTGTGGCATGTGCCACTATTGCAGGGACATGAAGAAGTTTGGTGGCCCTGGCCGCATGAAGCAGTCCTGCGTCCTCCGGCAATGCTTAGCGGTGAGTCTGCGGCCTGATCCTTTTCTCAGAAGTCCGCTGCAGCCTGGCAGCAACTCTGTGCGGGTGATCAGGGTCGGACAGAGGAGGGTAGTGGCCAAGTTTAATTCCTGGGGGATAGTTGGCCCCTTCCCCATGATTCAGGCAGCGAAGGAGAGAAGGAGGAAAGGGGGAAGGCTGTCCCACCTTGCCCTGGTTTCACTCCTGCTTTCCTTTGTAGCCCAGGCTGCCTCACTCGGTCACGTGTGCACTTTGCGGGGAGGTGGATCAGAACGAGGACTCGCAGGACTTTGAGAAGAAGCTCATGGAGTGCTGTATCTGCAACGAGATTGTTCACCCTGGCTGCCTACAGGTGAGCGGCGTGGGCGCCGGGGCAGAGGGAGCTCGGCCGTGGGGAAGGACTGCTGCTGACTGCCCTCTTCTCTTTGCAGATGGATGGGGAAGGGCTGCTCAACGATGAGCTCCCTAACTGCTGGGAGTGCCCCAAATGCTACCAGGGTGACGACGCAGAGAAGGGCCAGGTAGGAGGCGAGCTGTGCTGTGGCAGGGCAGGACGCGCGTCCTTCATCCCGCTGCATCCTGCTGTGGGGGACAGGCAGCGTTCAACCAGGCTGGGCTGGAGGGCAGGCAGGCACCAGTGCAATCCAGGGGACCGTCTGGGCAGTGACTAGTGAGAGTGGGGGTCACTGGGGGCGCAGCGCAGCAGTGCTTGGGGGGCCTGGCGGCATTCTGCCGCAGTCTGGTCCTGGCATCCTGCAGGGGGGGGCGAGCTGACGGCCTCCTGCTCTCTGTCCCCGGCTCCCAGAGAGCCCGTCAGCAGGCCAAGGCCAGGCTCCCGCAGAAGCGGCAGCCCGGGTCCT